CCCCTGCATCAGCAGGCGGACTCTCAACCACTGTGCCACCAGGGAAGCCCCAGAAGCACCTTTAATGGTGATGAACCAGGATTGGAAAGTGAAACTCCTAGTCGGGGCTGAGAGCTCTTGGTGAACATCAGAAGGGCATGTGACTTGGCCCTGACCAGGTGTCCGTGGCCTGTGGGGCGGGGTCGTGGTCCTCCTGCAGCTGCCTTGCCTCGACTGCAAGCCTGCAGAGCCACAGAAAGGCAGAAGGAATAATCAGGTGATGGTGACAGGCTGAGAGGAGGCATCAGGCAGCAGTGAAAAGGGAAGGATGTGCAGGGGATGCGTGGGGATGGAGGCTGGAGGGAGAAGAGGTGGGGGGGTGCCTCCTTCCTAGCTCTTCTTTTTTCTTTGGCTCCGCCATGAGGCATGCAGGATCTTAGTTTCCTGACCAGTGATGACCAGAGATCGAACCTGTGCCCCCTGCAGTGGAAGCTCAGAGTCCCAACCACTAGACCTCCAAAGAAGTCCCCCTTCCTAGCTCTTTGACCCTCGGCAGCTGACTTAACCTCTTTAAGGCCCTGGTGTACAGATTAAGCGTGCAAAGTACAGGTGCCCCTGCCGCAGCTGGCTCCCTTCTAGAAGTTGCCTCTGATTCCCATGGAACGGTCAACGCTGGGGCCCCCAGGCAGCTTGATCGGCTGTGCTGCTCGAGGAGCCCGACCCTGTTCCCCAGGCCCAGTGGGAATGAAGCTTTTGCCTCTCCTACACGGGAACAGCACCCCGACCCACACCCAGGAGCCAAGATCACTGCATTGGTTGCAGGGAGCTTGTCCCATTCTTCGAAATCCTCCAGTCTGTGCTCCTGCCTGCCGCTCCCAGGCCAGCCCGGCTTGGGTTTCGGCCCAGCTGCCTCAGCTCTAAGAGAGGGTTTCCGCTGGGACCCTGGTTTCTCCTACTGCCAGCACCCATGGCGGTTTGGCAGGCTGGGACTGCTGAGACCCGGCTACAGGGCAGGGATGCCAGAGGCATCAGGCAGGCCTGCGATGGAGCCCCAGCTGTGTCACTCACTTTGACGTTGGGCAAGTCACCAAAATGCTCTGAGTCTCCAGTTCCTCTTCTGCTGGTTGAACATAGAGGAGTGGAGTAAATGAGACCATTCAAGGGAAAGCACTGGGGAGTTCCCTGGTGGCCTAGTGGTTAGGATTCCAGGCTTTCACTGCCGTGGCCTGGGTTCAATCCCTGGTTGGGGGACTGAGATCCTGTAAGCTGTGTGGCGCAACCAAAAAAAAAAGGGGGGGAGGGAAGCACTTGATAAAACTCCTGGCACATGGTGGCAAGGTCCCAACAGTGGTTAGATCAGATGATCAGCTTTAGCAAAGCCAGGAGTAGCACGTGGCCCCAAAGAGCAGCTGGGAAGTTAGAAAAAGAGGACTTGCTGCTAAGTTCTATGCAGTTGCTCAAACACATTAAGCACTCCTGCCTCAGGACCTTTGCACATGCTGTTTCTTCTGCCTGGAATCCTCTTCCCGCAGATATGTACCCGATTTACTTTCTTTTTAAATTTTGTTTAATAAATTTGTTTTATTTATTTATTTTTGGCTGTGTTGGGTCTTCGTTGCTGTGCGCGGGCTTTGTCTAGTTGTGGCGAGCGGGGGCTACTCTCTGTTGCAGTGCACGGGCCTCTCACTGCGGTGGCTTCTCTTGTTGCGGAGCACGGGCTCTAGGTGCGTGGGCTTCAGTAGTTGTGGTGCACAGGCTTAGTTGCTCCACAGCATGTGGGATCTTAGTTCCACGACCGGGGATTGAACCTGTGCCCCGTGCACTGGAAGCGCAGAGTCTTAACCACTGGACCACCAGGGACGTCCCCAATTTGCACTCTTTAAGAGAACTTTCCTGGGCTCCCTATTAAAATTCTCCTTGGAGAATTCCCTGGTGGTCCAGTGGTTAGGACTCCCCGTTTTCACTGCCAAGGACCCAGGTTCAATCCCTGGTCGGGGAACTAAAACTCCACAAGCTGTGAGGCGCTGGCACAAAATAAATAAATAAATAGATGAAAAATTAAAAAATAAAGCCATTACTAACATTATATTTTTTTAAAATCCCCTTGAACACCGAAAAATACCCTGTCCCCCTTCCCTACCTTATTTTTCTCCACAGCACCTCTCATCATTTGATGTACCATCGATTTCTGTTTGATTACTGTCTACTGCAGTGAGAATGTCAGTGACATGAGAGTGGGGAATTTTTATTTTGTTCAGTGCTGAATTCCCTGGAAGAGTACCTAGCACATAGTACCCCTCAATAAATACACGGAAACTGGTTGAAGCTGGAGATGTTGCAGCTACAAGCCAACACTCTGGCTAGTGTTGGGGTTCTGTCTTTTAAACTCTCCCTGAGGACAGGTATATGAGCACATGGAAGGGGTGGGCTAATGCAGAACTATAGACCAGAAGGTCCCGCTCCTACGTGAAGGCACACAGTGCAATGTAAACAGGGGCTTAGGAATCAGACCACGCTGAGTTTGAGTCTTGACTCTGTTGGGCCTCAGTTATCTAATCTGTACAATGGGATGGTTGCCCTAGATGACCTCCCAGCTCTGCCACACACAGCTCTGTGGGTTTCATTCTCGCCGGGCTGTCCCCTTAGGCCCCGCATCCTTCACCGTTGGCTCTCTGCTCCACCCCTCCTCACCCCTCCCCAACCTGCCCCTCAGGAAACTGGCTGACTGTGCCCAGCTGCTGGAAGTGGATGACATGGTGCGGCTGGCAGTGCCCGACTCCAAGTGCGTCTACACCTACATCCAGGAGCTGTACCGCAGCCTCGTGCAGAAGGGACTGGTGAAGACCAAGAAGAAATGAGGGAAGAAATGAGGGGCTGACCAACCCTGTGGGCAGAGGCGGGCAGGGAGCCCAGCTGACCAGCCGTGGCCCAGAGGCTCACTTCTGCTCATGGTGGCAGCAGTGCTGGGGCTCAGACAAGGGCAGATGGCACCAATCTTAACTACGTGAAAAGTTCTTTTGTAAAATCTGTGTTCCCTCCCTAACCCAGCAGGAACATCTCTCACTTGGATAATAAACCCCGGCCGCCAGGGTTCCTCATCTGACATGATTTTCTCAACAATGAAAGGCATTTGGGAAAGCAGAGTGGGCAGGGTCCTACCACTAACCAGCTGTGTGTCCCTGGGCCAGTGAGTGAACCTCTCTGAGCTTCAGTTTACCGTCTGCATGGGGATGATAGGAGCTCAATATCATGCAGGTGCTGTGAGCGTTAAATGACATCATGAAAAGGACAAACAGCCTTGCCTGGGGCCTGTCACATAAGTGTTCTTTAAGTGGTGGCCCAAAGTAACAACACATCTTACATTTCCAGCCATGGGTGGCACCTTCCCACTTCTCTTCCCTTTTTCCACACTTCTCCCAGATTAGGGAATTCCAGGGCAGGGACTAGAGCAGAAGATTCTCTACAAATCTCACCCCAACTAGGCTAGTGGGGCCTGGAGTGATTCCCCTGACTCAAGATACCTCATATTCTGTCTCTTAAAAGCCAGTGGTCTTCTAGGAGCTTAGAACCACTGCACCCAGAAAGCTCCTCCTTTGTGCTACGTTAATCCCTCCAACCCCGGCTAGAGTTTTGGCTTGTTTGTGTCTTTCTGCTGCTCACTAGAGATGAACCCTGGAGCTGAGTATAATTTCCCGCTAACAATCTTGTCTGGATTTATCAGCCATTTGGAGCATGTGCGCTGATGAGAACAGTTCATGAAAAACAAAAAAAAAACCCAGTCAGCTTGGCACTGCAGCTGGAGGGGTGGCCTCTGCCCTGATCAGCAGAGTGGACCTGGCAACCCACTGAAGCGCTCTGTGCCTTGGTTGCCTCCTCTATAAAAATGGGGATGTTATCCTTGTGGATGTGTCGATGACCGTTCAGGCCAAGGGTGGTCTAGTCCCTCATGGCCAGCTTTCCCCACAATGCTTGGGGTCACACAAGGCTCCACGCCCAGCGAGCCCTCAGCTGATGGAAAGCAAGGTCACACCTTTAACTAGGCTGCAGCTAAATCCCCAGCCTCCTCTTCTCCCGATTAACCACCCGTCCTCTCAGTGAACACTCAGTTGGACTCCACGGTCCATCTGTGACGTTAATAGCTGAGCAAACATGTGGTCTCCGTGGCTCCCGTGGACTGGAAGCTGGAGGGGAAACACCTCCCCGCCTAAAGCCTGGTCCCTAGGAACCAGCAACCTAATGGGATAGCAAGTGGTTTAAAAACCGTGTAGTCAGGGGACCTCCCCAGCGGTCCAATGGTTAAGACCCTGTGCTTCCACTGCAGGGGGTGTGGGTTCGATCCCTGGTTGTGTGGCCAAAAAAAAATTAAAAGAAAAAAAAAACCCCATTGTAGTCAGATTTCTGGGATGGAGATTAGTTTCTTCACTTTATGATTCATCAGTGGAAGAGAAAAGGTTTTGCATCTATACATGTCTATCAGCGGTCTGGCTGTTTTCAATCACTCAGTCAACAAAACACTCAACCGTAAGTAGGAGTCCCTCCTCCCTGTGCCCTGCCTCCCTCCCATACTCCCCCCCTGCCCCTCTGCCCTCCCCGCACCCCCCATGCCTGGGCCCTCAGCGGATTCTGGTTGGCTGCTGGGCTCATTTCCTGCGAGCTGGCCTGCAAGGCAGCCTGAGTCTCTAAGGATCAGGCTTCCCACATCACAGAGCGCTGGAGAGCTGGCCTGCGACTCTGCAAACCTAAATGCCCCTGGCTCTGGGGCAGAGAAAGGAAGTGGGGAAAGCACACCTGAGGCCAGTGGATCCCCGTACCACACACATAACTGCGGCCCCCCACCACCACACACACATACATACACGCACACACGCGCACGCACACACAAATGACTAACAATCTAAGAAGGAAAACTTGGAAGAAATGAGAAGGAAATGGACCACAAAGGGGCTCTGGCCCCTAGCCCATGACATGTGCCCATCCATCACACAGAAAGTATCCAGTGCAGAGATGGGCCAGAGGCAGAGTTAGGAGGGTCGGTCCACTCCAAACTGGAGGGTGAACTCTTCGGCCCTCCTGTTGAACAGCTCCGGGTCCTGTGTCAGCTCGTCAGCAAGCTCCAAGCGAAGGGGCTGCCCCAGCTCTGGTTTATTCACCAGCACGTTGAGGGCCTCCAAAACTGGGGAGAGAGGTCAGATCAGGACATCAGGATGGAAGGAAAAAAATCCTGGGAAGGAAGCGATTGGCTGCCCACTCCCAGGTCCCCCGAAACGTCACACTCACTCCTTGGGAGATCCCCCCAGGAGGTTCCATGTCTTAGGATGACGCTACAACCAAATGAAATGCCTCTTACCACATTCACTGATGATGCCCAAAGCCATAACCAGTTACATCAGTGTTTTTCAAACTATGTTTCACGATGTCACAGAAGCTACTCATCGTGGGGGTTGGTGAGATAAACAGGGTTTCTGTTCCCTTTTCAAGAAGAAACACTTTGCTTTTCTCTTTTCGAGAAGAAACACTATTCCCTTTTCGAGAAGAAACACTTTGCTTTTCTCTGTTGTGTTATTAGGATTCCAAAAAACTTTTATTTGGGAAAAAGGATTCTGAGGCTTAAGACTGGAAACCACTGCTGCCCCGTGGCTGGAAATCTTTCACGGGTGACTTTGGAAACCTGGTGAAGGCAGTGGCCCATCTCCCCAGGCACGTCCACATACGGATACACACAGATGTGTGGTTCTGGGTCCAGAGCGCTTCACCGACCTCCTGAAGCTCATCCAAGGACCAGTCCTCGCCATCCGCGCCCCCAGGATTCTTGTTTCCAGGGTTAAGAACTCCCGAGCTGGTCCAGTGGCAGGATTGATCACACACTGATTACGTCCATAGGCTCTAGAGCCATAGCGCGCACTATGGTAGCCACCAGCCATGCGTAGTTATCTCAATTTAAATTAGTGGAAATTCACTACAATTAGGAATGCAGTTCATAGTCACATCAGCCGCATTTCAAGTGCTCGAAAGCTACACGTGCCTAGTGACCATGGCATTGGACAGGGCAGCTACAGAAGGATTCCATCACCGCAGAAAGTTCTGCTGGACGGTGCTGTTCCAGAGCCACCCAAGCAGGCTCCGAATCCCAGCTCTGCCACCTACCAGCTCAGGCAAGCGCTTCTCCTCTCATATGCCTCGGTGTCCTCAACTATTAAATGGAGCTAATGAGAGCACTGTTTCAGGAGGCTTCTGAGGGGATTAAATGAAGTTGGTGGGTTAAAAATGGCTGGTGTCCCTGGGTTAGAAAGTTCAAGTTCTCAGTGGTGCAGGGACATGTCTCAGACCAGGTCCCCAACTCCATCTTTGTATGCCTGAACTATGTTTACTCCATTATAATTTCAATTTGTCATCAATGGATAGATACCAAAAACGTAATATGGAATAAAAAAGTGAATTTTTATACTGGAGAGGGTGTGGAGAAAAGGGAACCCTCCTACACTGTTGGCGGGGAATGTAAATTGGTGCAGCCACTGTGGAGGACAGTATGGAGGTTCTTTAAAAAACTAAAAGTAGAGTTACCATATGGTCCTGCAATCCCACTCCTGGGCACATATCTGGAGAAAACTCTAATTCAAAAAGATACATGCACCCCAATGTTCAAAGCAGCACTATTTACAATAGTCATGGAAGCAGTCTGACTGTCCATCGACATATGAATGCTTAAAGAAGATGTGGTACATATATACAATGAAATATTACTCAGCCATAAAAAAGAATGAAACAATGTCATTTTCAGCAACATGGATGGATCTGGAGATTATCGTACTAAGTAATGTAAGTCAAATGGAGAAAGACAAATATAGGATAGCACTTGTATGTGGAATCTAAAATACGATACAAATGAACTTATTTACAAAACAGAGACAGACTTAGGGACATAGAAAACAAACTTACGGTTACCATGGGGAAAAGGGGGGGAGGAGGGATAAATTAGGAGTTTGGGATTAACATATACACATTACTATATACAAAACAGATAAACAGCTAGGTCCTACTGTATAGCACAGGGAACTATATTCAATATCTTGTAATAAACTATAGTGGAAAAGAATATGAAAAAGAATATATGTACATAAGCATAACTGAACACATGTGCATAAGTATAACTAACACAACATTGCAAATCAACTAGACTTCAAATAAAAAAGTGAACTTTTGGGACTTCCCTGGTGGTCCAGTGGCAAAGAATCCGCCTTACAATGCAGGGGATGCAAGTTCGATCCCTGGTCAGGGAACTAAGATCCCACATGCCACGGGGCAACTAAGCCTGCGCGCCACAACTACTGAGCTTGCACGCCTCAGCTAGAGAGCCTGTGTCCGCGAACTACACAGCCCACGCGTTCTGGAACCCACGCGCCACAACTAGAGAAGAGAAAACCCACACGCCACAACTAGAGAGGAGGCCACACACCACAACGAAGAGCCCGCGCACCGCAAGGGAAGATCCCGCGTGCCGCAACAAAGATCCCACGAGCCACAACTAAGAGCCGATGCAGCCAAAAATAAATTAAGTGAATAATAAATCTTAAAAAGAAAAAAAGTGGGGCTTCCCTGGTGGCGCAGTGATTAAGAATCCACCTGCCAATGCAGGGGACACGGATTCCATCCCTGGTCCGGGAAGATCCCACATGCCGCGGAGCAACTAAGCCCGTGCACCACAACTACTGAGCCTGCGCTCTAGAGCCCGCGAGCCACAACTACTGGAGCCCACGTGCCACAACTACTGAAGCGTGCGTGCCTAGAGCCCGTGCTCTGCCACAAGAGAAGCCACTGCAATGAGAAGTCTGTGCACCACAATGAAGAGTAGCCCCCGCTTGCCGCAACTAGAGAAAGCCCGCGTGCAGCAATGAAGACCCAGCGCAGCCAAAAATAAATAAATAAATAAATTTGTTTTAGAAAAAGAAAAAAGTGAACTTTTAAAAAATGGCATGTGGGAATTCCCTGGCAGACCAGTGGTTAGGACTCCAAGCTTCCAAGCTTCCACTGGGCTGGGGGCCCAGGTTCAATCCCTGGTCGGGGAACTAAGATCCCGCAAGCTGCAAAACACAGCCAAAAAAAAAAAAGGCATGTGAAGCTCTTAGCACAGTGCCCAAGTGCCTAATTAAGTGATGTATGTTATCATTGTTAGGCCAGTCCCCTCAGCTGTCATTTAGGGCACTGAGCCCCGGAAAGGAACAGACTTCACCAAGGTCCCCAAATAGGGCATGCGGCCTTCTTATCCCAAACCCTTCCCTCTATAGCCCAGCTGCTTCTCTCTCCCCTGACCCACAGCAACGCTGCTCTCTCCCACCTGCCCAGGTATGAGAACAGAGGCAGGAGCAGGTCAGCCAGCCCAGGATCTCAGGACGCATCCCTTCTATCTGACGACAGGCTCAGCTGAGACTCACAATTTTTTTTTTTTTTTTTTTTCGGTTTTTTTTTGGCAAATAACCGAGTGAATGAAACAGTAAATACACTTGAATGCCTTCATCTTCATCTTCCTGTATCTACCTATCAGAAGAAAAAAAAATAAACAAACAAAAGAAACCTGTCTCCAGATTTTAACACCACTCCATTCAGGAATCTGTCTTTTTGGAATAAACTTCCCTCCACTCTGCCCCCACCAAACACCGCATCTGCACTACATGACACAAAAAACTCGATACTATAGAACATCCTCCATAGCACTGAGTACCTTTTATGATACCTGTTATAGTCTATTTTTTATATTATTTGAATATTTCTTTCAGCCCTACAGTATTATGACCTCTTGATATCTTTTTCACAACCTAATATGCCTACTTCGTCACTACAAGTATAGAAGATAATAAATATTTGTGAAATTCATTTGAATTATAATTACTATTAAAGGATTTTCTACTCTATAACAATTCCCCCTGACTATAACCTCTGGCCAAATTAAATGATCAAATCTGAAGTTTTGCATTATTTTTCTTAAGTAATATTTTATTTTATCCTTTCTTATAGTGGTGACTCACTGTTTTTGAACAAGTCTTTGTTACTTGACCAGCTATTCAAAGCAAATACCTATGATTATTTCCCACTTCTCCACACTATGTTACTGTGTTTTGAGCTTATCTTCTTTCTCTCTCTTGCCAAAAATGCACATTTCCATATTGAAGTACATTATTATTGGTGCTTTAGCCTTAATTCTTTCCCTCTCTGCTAAGTTCTCAATCCAAGCCATCACCTTTTCTGAGAAATGGATGAAAATCGTGACTTTCTTGAAGTCTCACCACAGTCCATGTTGACTACCCCTTTGTAATAATGCATCGTTTAGCATTCTGTTAAGCTGCATTTTATATTTTTCTCCCCACTTCTGCTAAAAATATGTTTTAAATGCATTGAAGACCTCCACTGATGATTAAGATGCTGTCTTACAGTCAATAATTCAATAAATATTTATTGAACTTCTAATGTATGCCAAACGTTGTCGAGTTACTGGGGATCCAGTAATAAAGGAAATAGGAATAGTCCTTACTCTCCTGGGTTTTGCATTCTAAGCAAGGGAAGCAACTAACCAGTAAACATATCAATCTAATATGTCAGGTGGAGAAAAGTGCTCCAAGAAAAGTAAGGTGGGGCAGCATGGAGAGTTCTATTGGCAGTGGTTGCCAGGTTTTATTTAAAGGTGGATAAGAAAGGCTACAATAAGAAGGTGACATTTGATCAGGGAGCTAGGGCAATAGAGCTCCATGCAGAGGAAATAATAAGTGCAATGTCCCTGAGGCAGAACATGAATCAGCAACGTCGACGGAGTGGTGGCAGGCAAGTGATGAGCGGGAGAGAGTAGAGAGGAAGCAAATGAAATCAGTTAATTGGTGGAAGGTCAGGTTGTTTACTGCCTTGGAAGTGATGTTAGGGAATTGGATTTCATTCTGTGGGAGAGGGCAAGCCCTTGAACCTACTAAATATTTGTTTCATTATCAGTAATGAACATCTATGCTGTTTTAAAAAGGTTCTGGAAATGGATGGTGGTGATGGTTGCACACCAATGCACATGTACTTAATGCCACTAAACTGTACACATAAAAGTGGTTAAAATGGACACTTTTATGTTATATATATTTTGACACAGTTTTAAAAAATCTTTGCGTGAATACCATGGACCCAAATTTGTGCTAGGCACTGGTGACCGTAAGAACATATGAGCAATGCAGCACTCAGAATCTGCTTTGAGAAAATACATTCCATATATTATAAGTGTAAAAACACAATGCAAGGTAGCATAAATCATGTTCCAAATGAGAGGGCTAGGCTAGAATTTCACAAAGTGTGTTCTGGGAAACATTAGTCTGGAGAGATGCCCTTTGAAATAAAAGGATCTTACTCAGATAAGTTTGGGAAATAATGCATCCTCCAGTCCCGCCTAACCCGTGTCCCCTGCATCGGCAGGCGGACTCTCAACCACTGCGCCACCAGGGAAGCCCAACTCACAATTTTTATCTCCTTTCTTCGGGGCTTTTCTAACTGAAAATCGGTCCCATGACCCCCTCCCCCATCCAGTCCAGGTCCCTCCCTCTAGGCAGGGCCCAGGCCCACCTTGGCAGGTCTTGGTGAAAGGCTTCCAGTTCTCCTTGCTGATGATGGGCAGGCACACCCGCCCGTTGCTGTCCACATTGGGGTGGTAGATCCTGGTTGTGAATGTCACTGTCGGAGGCTTGAATGGATACTCCTCAGGGAAGCTGATGCGCAGGTTGAAGGCCTTGAGGTTGTAGGGAGGTTTCTCCTGTGCAGGAGAGGGATCAAGCTCTGTGCCGAGGCACAGCTGCTCATTTTCTTCTAGGGCCTGGACCTGGTTTCCCTCTCTCCCCGCCCCCACCCCAGGGTCCCAGGCATCCTCTGCTCCACTCCTAGGAAGAATCATGAATGGCGACATGCCGCAACACAAATAAACTCTGAAGGCATTGTGCTAAGTGAAATAAGCTAGATCCAAAAAGAAAAGAACAAATATTGTATGGTTCCACTTATGTGATGTACCTAGAATAGTCAAATTCATAGACATAAAATAGAAAATTAGTTACCAGATGCTGGAGGGAAGGAGGGATGGGGAGTTAGCGTTTAATAGACACAGTTTCAGTTCTGGAAGATGAAAAAGCTCTAGAGATGGATGGTGGTGATCGTTGCACAATAATGTGAGTGTACTTCGTGTCATTGAGCTCAGAACATAAAAATGATGAGGATGCTACATACTGTTATGTGTATTTTGCCATGTTAAAAGAAGAAAAAAAAGAACTCGGAGTTGGAGTGACCAGTTGCCAGGAGCCAGCAGAAGACCCTCTAGACTTCCAGCAACCAGAAGGCTTTCCTGGGCATCTACTCTGCGCCACCCCATGCTAAAGGCTCCACACACATTAGCCCATACAGCACAGTGTAGGGGTTATGTGGACTTTGGGACTCTTGGCTCTGCCACTTCCTAGCTGTGTAACCTCAGGCAAGTAACTTAACCTCTCTGTGCTTTTCCATAAGGAACAAATAACAGACTTCTTCATAGGGTTTATGTAAGAATTAAATGAGCTAATTTATGTTAAGAGCTTAGAGTAGGGCCTGGCACATGGCAAGCACTGTGTACATGTCAGCTATTAGGATAAAAGTATTACGAAAACTCATGAGTATTAGCATCTCCACTTCCAGATGAGGAAACTCAAGTGTAATGTATATAAGTAACTTGCCCAGGGCCACAGCGACAGTGCTAGGATGGGAACTCAGCACTGCCACCTTGGCTTCTCCACACATGGGCAGTGCTCTACAACCCTAGTGGAGAGGAACCTCAGGACTTGGGTGACCCCAGCATAGAGCACAGGGGCCTTCAGGCTGGTTCCAAAGCTCCAAAACCTTCCAGAACCTTCGTGATAGAGAAGACAGGACAAAGACAGTCAGAATGACACAGGTATGCAAGCGTAGAGTCAAGGTTTTAAGAGAGCTCCTCTTCCTCAGCAGAAGGCAGAAAGGAAGCTGTAGGGGTCTTGGGTGTGTCTGAGATAAGAGCTGGGGTAAATGCTGGGCAGATAAAGAAAATGCCTTAGCTTTCCTGTTCTCGATAATAAGAAGAGGCTGGGACCTGGGAAGGAGACACAAAGCCACGGGTGAGGCCTCAGAAAAGGACGAGAGAGCGTCCGTGTGTCCTTCTGCAGGGGTTGCAGGTTGGGCTGCCCGGGTCTTATCAGAGGAAGGAGGTGGCGGAGCCATGAAGCTGAGAGCCCTGGGTCCTGGGAACCCATCCTGGCTCTGCCTCGAACTTGCTGTGTGGCTTTGAGCAGCTCTGGGGCTCAGTTTCCTCATCTGTAAAAATGAGGAAATTGGATCAGACAGAGGGCTTCACACTGCACCTTAGGGTCAGCTGAGAAAGCCCTACTTCTTCCAAAGTCCTGAGTTAAATAAAGCATTTTGTTATTCTTCCAGCCCAGAGCAGGTGTGGTGGACTGTTTCAACCCAGCAGCCCACAGGACATGACAGAGGGTCAAGGGTTGCCCTGACTCAAGCCTTTCTCCATTGTTCTGGGCTACAGGTCAGTTGAAAGAGAAGACGGCACAGGGACTTCCCTGGTGGTCCAGTGGGTAAGACTCTGGGCTCCCAATGCAGGGGGTCTGGGTTCGATCCCTGGTCGGGGAACTAGATCCTGCACGCATGCCGCAACTAAGAAGCCCGCATACCACAACGAAGATCCCGCGTGCCGCAACTAAGACCCAGCACAGCCAAAATAAATAAATAAATAAATTTCAAAATATAAAAAATAAAGGAAAAGAGGGCTTCCCTGGTGGCGCAGTGGTTGAGAGTCCGCCTGCCGATGCAGGGCACGTGGGTTCGTGCCCCGGTCCGGGAGGATCCCACATGCCGCGGAGCGGCTGGGCCCGTGAGCCATGGCTGCTGAGCCTGCGCGTCCGGAGCCTGTGCTCCGCAATGGGAGAGGCCACAACAGTGAGAGGCCCGCGTACCGCAAAAAAATAAATAAAGGAAAAGAATATGGCACAACCCAAGCCATTGCCTTGTCAGTAAGAAGTCCAAATCCTAAATAATCAAATGAATTGTTCCCACTAAATTCCAAAGAGCTAAGGAAAAGCTCAATTGTTTCCATTTTTATTTCCTAGTATCCAAAGGTATATAGATGAACTTCTCAAAGAAAATATCTGTGGTCACTAATAATTAGATGATACAATAGACATCTTGCACTTTGATAGGTCCTTTGGAATATTACTTTCAAAGGGAGATTCTATTGAGATGATCTTTAATAATAAACAGAGAAAAAGCAGAATAGTAGAGATGAGTTATCTGTGTTGTCATATGTAACAATGATTTTCTGAAATATGATTTTTAAAAGAGAACAAAACACATTTTAGGTCTGAGGCAGCAAATTCTACCAACTGTGGGAAACAGGAACTTTATCCCTATCCTTTGACAAAGACCCAACAGATCTTTTCTTCTTTTTCTTTTTTTTTTTTTTAATGCCCTTTGTCTACTGAAGCTTCCATGGTGGGCATGGTAGCTACTGGCTTGCAGAAGGGGTCCCTTACTAAATCCAAAAGGCTTTTAGCCTCTTCATCAGTCGGCCTGAACCTCAGAAGCAATCAATCCAGAGAGAGACCCCCTCTGCCAATGATAACCTCCAGTGAAAAACAGGATTCAGGGGGCTTCCCTGGTGGCGCAGTGGTTGAGAGTCCGCCTGCCGATGCAGGGGACACGGGTTTGTGCCCCAGTCTGGGAGGATCCCACATGCCGCGGAGCGGCTGGGCCCGTGAGCCATGGCTGCTGAGCCTACGCGTCCGGAGCCTGTGCTCCGCAACGGGAGAGGCCACAACAGTGAGAGGCCCGCGTACCGCAAAAAAAAAAAAAAAAACAAAACAACACAACAGGATTCGAAGGCAGGAAGATTCTTGCCCAGTCCTAACCCTCCCTGCCCAGGCTCCTGGCCTAAGCGGCCCCAGTCCCAGGCCACGGCCCTGTGGATACTCACAGGCAGGAGGAGCGCGTGCCACACCAGCACGTTGGCATCATCGCTGAATAGGTTCCGCAGGTACCTGGGGAGCCCCTTCTGAAGGTCGTCCAGCTCCTGCAGGGGGACAGAGCACGGGCAGTTGGCCTAGTCTCCCCTACGTCAGCCCCCTCCCCCCTGCCCCCCAGCGCAGTGTTCAAGTCCCAAACAGGACCGCCCAGGGGACAGAAGCTGGCAGTCGTAGCCCCCATTTACTGAGCACTTGGTATGTGTCAGGCACAGTGCTCAGGGCTTTGAGTGAATCACCCAATTTTAGCCTCACCCCAGCTCCGTAAGTACCAGGTGGAGGGAACACGCACATCACTGCTTCCAGATATTACAACTTGGGAGTAAACTCTCTCAGGAGCCTTTTCTCCTGAAACCGAGGTACTTAATGTCTGTCCTCTTGCCCTCTTCGTAGAGAGTCACGGGGTCCTCCCTCCCTTCCATAGCACCCAGTATGACGACGTGCCTTTACAGTGCTCAGGGCAGAACAGGCAGCAAAGACATCACCCTGTGCCTGTCAAACTGCTCCAGACCAGGCCTGGGGAGGGGAAATGACTCAGGCAGACCATAGCAGAGAACTCTACACACCAAGCAGAGAAACAAGAGGACAAGCAGTGACTCACTTTCCCAGAAAGGTGACCCAGTCACCTGGACATCACTTGAGTTCCCCCAACAGCCCTCTCCTCAATTGCATCCTCTATTGACACTTGACTAAGACATGGCCCAGCCCGCGAGAACTTCATTGGAGTAATGGAAGCAACACGGACGTGATTATGTGAATAACATGTGGACACATAACAGGGAAGGAGAGGAGAGGGGAGCAGGAAAGCTTCACACAGGGTGACACTGTGAGCTGGGTCATGCGGAATGAATAAGAGTCTACCATGCAGAGAATTAGAGAGGTACCAAGGCAGAGAGCCCGGTAAGAGCAAACGTATACGGTGCGTCCCATGCAAGATGCATAGTTATTATGGGAAAAGGGCTCCACGGTCAAGTACACTGGGAAACACTTGGCTAAACAGACTTCTTTACTGCAGGACTTCCCGAAGCCTTTAATACGTTACTGCGTGTTGTGATTCCCCAAGGTATGAGCCCAAGCGTGCGGCACTTCTCAAATGTATTAGACCAAAGAACCCCTCTCTCCATTCTGGGGTCCATCTTGTGGAACAATAGACTTTTTATCTTTTATTTTTATTTTTTTTTGCGTTACGCGGGCCTCTCACTGTTATGGCCTCTCCCGTTGCGGAGCACAGGCTCCGGACGCACAGGCTCAGGGGCCATGGCTCACGGGCCCAGCCGCTCCGCGGCATGTGGGATCTTCCCGGACCGGGGCACGAACCCGTGTCCCCTGCATCGGCAGGCGGACTCTCAACCACTGCGCCCCCAGGGAAGCCCTAGACTTTTTAAAAAATATTATTTCCTTTTCTTTTTAAAAAAATTTTTAAAAATTAGTATAGTTGCTGTACAATATTATAGTTACAGGTGTACAATATAGTGATTCACAATTTTTAAAGGTTATACTCCATTTATAGCTATTATAAAATACTGGCTACATTCCTCATGTTGTACAATATATCCTTGTGGCTTATTTTATACCTAATGATTTGTACCTCTTACCCTCTACCCCTATGCTGCCTCTCGCCACTGTAATAGACCTTTAAAAAAAAACAACAGCGGGACTTCCCTGGTAGTGCAGTGGTTAAGAATCAGCCTGCCCATGCAGGGGACACGGGTATGAGCCCTGGTCCAGGAAGATCCCACATGCCGCAGAGCAACTAAGCCCGTGAGCCACAACTACTGAGCCCACGTGCCACAACTATTGAAGCCCGTGCATCTACAGCCTGTGCTCTGCCACAAGAGAAGCCACCACAATGAGAAGCCCGCGCACCGCAACAAAGAGTAGCCCCCACTTTTCACAACTAGAGAAAGCCCGTGTGCAGCAACGAAGACCCAAAGCAGCCAAAATTAAATAAATAAATAAATTTATTATTTTTTTTAAAAAAAACAGCAACAGATAAAAAGACATTCAGGGAATTCCCAGGCAGTCCTGCGGTTAGGACTCCACACTTTCACTGCCAAGGGCGTGGGTTCGATCCCTGGTTGGGAACAGAGATCCTGTAAGTCACATGGTGCAGCCAAAATAAAAATAAAAAGTAAATAAATAAAAGTATTTTTAAAAAAAAGACTTTCAAGGGCAGGTCATATTTTTCTGGAACACCAAATGGTATAAACCAGTGGTTCTCAACTGGGGGGTTACTTTACCTACTTGCCCCCAGGACATTTGGCAATGTCTGTGACCATTTTTGGCTGTCACAAATGGAGGAGTGGTACTACATCTAGTGGGTAGAGGTCAGGGATGCTGACAAACACTCTACAGAAAATTATCCAGCCCAAGATGTCGATAGTGACAAGGTTGGCAAGCCCTGGCATAAACAAAGGCAGAGAGAAAGGTCCCCAAAGCCAGTCCACAGCTGGGGAGAGGTCCCTTCACACTGCGCACCATCTAAACTTTCTCTGCCCCCCAACATACAAACACACCCTTATCTCCTGTTTCTTATCTTTCCAAACTCCAACTCTGTTCATGCCAACAAACTGCTTCTTGCACCTTCTGCCCAGAATCTATGACCCCTCATTTATCTTTTACCCCAAACTAGAAGCATCTGCTACTACAAGTCCTAGTTCCAGTATCATCTGTGACTCTTCAGCAAGAATGAAGCCCCAGGTTGAACAGAGAAGCTCTGGAATGGACATTTTCCCCAAGTTTACTATAACTGGAAGAACTTGGACTTTACTGGTTGTATATGAGTTCTCTCAAGGCTTTCCCAAAGCCTGGGGATGCTGAAAGCCAAGCTAGGACACACAGTTTGTTCCTGAGGCCTGTTAGGAAATCACCTGACTCAGAGGAACAGAAAATGAAAGTAGGGAAGCCACTGAAAGAGCCTATGGGTTGGAGCCCCACCAATCTGGGCTCTAATCCCAGCCCCATCACTCCCTACTGGGTGACCCAGGACAATCAAGTTATTCTCTCTGAGCCTCAACTTCCCCATCTGTAAAATGGGGGTATAGGACTTATCTCACAGGGTTGCTGTGAGAATGAGATGAAATAACTAATGTAAACTACCTGGCATTTAGTGGTGCCAGTGCTATAAATACTGGCTCCTGGGCTTCCCTGGTGGCGCAGTGGTTGAGAGTCCGCCTGCCGACGCAGGGGACACGGGTTCGTGCCCCAGTCCGGGAAGATCCCACATGCCGCGGAGCGCTGGGCGCGTCCGGAGCCTGTGCTCCGCAATGGGAGAGGCCACAACAGTGAGAGGCCCACATACCGCAAAAAAATAAATAAAAATAAATAAAAAATACTGGCTCCTAGCTCTTTCCCACTTGGCTAGAAAGACTCTCTGCCCTATTTTGCTGCCAACCTCCAGATTTCAGTCCTTCTGGGCTGAGCCTGCTCTGGGTGCCACAATCTCAGATCATTTTCTTCTCAGAGGCTGAGGGTAGCACTCCCTCTTTACCTCCCTCAAGCCTGCACATAGGAGGGGCACTTCTGAGAGCCTCAAAGCCTGAGGGGTGTCCGACCCAGGATTGCTCTACCTTCCCCATCTGTCTCCAGTCCCAGCCACATCTCAGTCCTCCAAACACCTTGGGTTTTCCCACCTCCTGGGGAAAATCGCCAACTCCCCATCCTTCCCGACCTCACTTCATTCAAATCGTGTCTCTGATCGGAATGAAAGCTCAGAAGGGGTAGGTTTGTTTATCTCTGCCTCCTTATCTCCTAGAACAGGAGCCAGCATATAGGAGGCATTCAACGACATTTGTACAACAAATGAATACACACCACCTACTCCAGGACACCTTCTAGGTTCTCCCTGGCATCTTTTCCTCCCGAGAATACCCTGAGAACGTTGCTTTCAACTCCCACTCAGCATCGCATACTTCTCGGGACTCTAATGTGGGTACCAAAATATGGGGCGGGCCATGGGATATTCCAAGGCAAGGACCTTGTCCTGGTTCTCTCTGTTCAAAAGGCACCTGCCACCACCCCCAACAGAACGCCTGGCTCCAAAAAAGACGCCAAGGAACCAACTCTTCCCGCACCTGAGACGCACGTAATGGTTATCACAAGTTTCTGGCAGAGAAATGAAACTGAAACCAATTTGGGGGGAAGTGGCTCATCCCCAGCCCCAGCACAGCTCAGGGAGCCAGCGACACCCCAGCTCGACACGTCCTCACCTCCCCAGACTCCAGCTCTGGCCCCTCTCGTAGACCCACTCTTCCACTGGGGAGGGGGCAGGGATGCAGGGATTCAGCCAGCCCTGGTACCCAGACAAACAAATGCGCTCGGAGAGCTGGAAGAGGGATGGAGGGAGGACGGAATAGAAAGTCACCGGAACCGTGACAAAGGGGTCATCCTACTCGCGGTTACCTTCGCCACCCGCTTGCTCGCCGTCATCTCTGGACCGAGTGTGAAGCTCCGACGGACTCCAGCTAGAGTGCGCACCGGACTGCGAACTCCGCGCACCCCGCCCCGGGGACACCACCTCCGGGAGCCCCGCCCACTTTCCGTTCCACCCGCGGGGACCGGGTTGACCTGCTCCCCGCCGCCTCGGCTGACACTGCGAGGCCACCGAGGGGAGGACCCGCCCGGTCCCCGGGGCGGTGGGCTCGGATCCCCGGAACTTGAGCTCTTTTGTCGTGAGACCAGGCGGGTCTGGGAGAGCGCGGCGTTGCCGGATCCCGGCGTCCCGCTAGGGGGCGCCCTGCACCAGGCAGCGAGCGCGAGGGGGCGCGGGGCCGGGGTCCGCCCATCCGGGTTCTAGTTCCAGCTCCGCTGCTAGAGGCCCAGCCGGGGGCTGCACCATCTCCATCAGTCCCCTCTCAGCCGCCGCCCCAAACACACACTCGCTCTAAGCAAATACAGGATGCTCGCTATGCACGCGCAGCTCCGCGACAGGTCGCTCGGGGGCCTCCGCCGTCAGACCGCCGCCCTAAGCCCCTGTAGCGAATTCCCAGAGCCCCCTGGACAAATCATTTCCCCTCTCTGGGCCCATGTGCCCCATCTCTAAAAATGGGTGGGAGACAGCGTAGACTATATCCCCGACAAGGAACCCTCCCCTGGCAGCTTGGGATCCTTTGTGCTGTCCAGCATTCGGTGGTGGAACTGCAGACGTTTCTCCCAGGTGACTTCTTGATGCAGAGCACCGCAAGGGGGCGCTGTTGGATCCGTTCGCTTGCTTTGGGGTCTGGTAGACCCTTCAGTCCTTTACTAGGTTTAATACTTAGTAAGTGCATACTATATGTTAGATTTGGGAGACAGTTGGGGTGTTGGGAGCCCCAAGATGGACTTAAGGGGCCTGCCATATTTTACCATCAATCCATTACAAACTGCAGGCCTACTGTGTGCCCCAAAACACAGCCCGGAGTCCACCCCTGTGCAAGAGCAGAGGGCTTTTCCCCCAGCACGAAGCTGAGGCCACTGTGGACTAGCAGAGCGTGGAGCAGCATCTGGGGAAGAATCTCCTAGTAATAATGAGACTCTTTGGGAGGACAGAACCCATCTTCCTCATCCCCATCCCCAGTTCAGAGGAGGAAGGAAATCAGAAAATATTTTGAGCACATATTTTGAGATCTGAGCTCACTACCTCGCTTACTTTTTTTTTTTTTAATAAATTTATTTATTTGGGCTGCGTTGGGTCTCCGTTGCTGTCCGCAGGCTTTCTCTAGTTGCGGCGAGTGGGGGCTACACTTTGTTGCGATGCGCGGGCTTCTCATTGCGGTGGCTTCTCTTGTTGCAGAGCACGGGCTCTAGGCACGCGGGCTTCAGTAGTTGTGGCTCGCGGGCTCTAGAGCGCAGGCTCAGTAGTTGTGGCTCACAGACTCTAGAACACAGGCTCAGTAGTTGTGGCGCATGGGCTTAGTTGCTCTGCGGCATGTGGGCTCTTCCCGGACCAGGACTTGAACTCGTGTTCCCAACATTGGCAGGCGGCTTCTTAACCACTGCGCCACCAGGGAAGTCCCCTCACTTACTTTTTATCTAAGTGTGTTGGAACCAAGCCACTTCTCTGCTCAGATGTGGGATGTACTGTATTTGAGGACGATTAATTCTGTTTAATTCAATTCAGGAAACTTTTTTTTTTTTTTTTGGGTTCGCGGGCCTCTCACTGCTGTGGCCTCTCACTGCTGTGGCCTCTCCCGTTGCGGGGCACAGGCTCTGGACGCGCAGGCTCAGCGGCCATGGCTCACGGGCCCAGCCGCTCCGTGGCATGTGGGATCTTCCCAGACCGGGGCACGAACCTGTGTCCCCTGCATCGGCAGGCAGACTCTCAACCACTGCGCCACCAGGGAAGCCCCAATTCAGGAAACTTTAACTGGGCTTCGGCTGCTGCTGCTGCTGCTTCTGCTTCTTTAGGCCCCACAGCGGCTTGTGGGATCTTAGTTCCCCGACCAGGGATCAAATCCCGGGCCCACAGCAGTGAAAGCACCAAGTCCTAACCACTGGACCACCAGGGAAGTCCCAAACTGGGCATCTTCTATATGCCAAAAATGAATAGGACACTGTCCACAATCCCTTAACATAGGTAGCAATGAAAGAACTGAGGCATTTGAACCCACCTCCGGTCATTCATCTAGTTAATAAGCATTTACTACAGAGTGCCAGGCACTGACCACAATGAGAAAGTGGGGTCCCTGCGCTTGAGAAACTCTCTGGCTATTGGGACAGAGAGAAAGAATGCAGCCCTTGCATTTTTAATGCAAAGTGATCAGCATTAAGCTATAGGCAATCAACTGATGCTGCGGGAGCCGGGAGGAGGGTCACTGGTTCCAGCCTCAGAGAGGGGCAGAGGTTTCCTAGAAGAGATAAAGATCCATGTGAATTGCAAGCCCGATGAGTTAAAGCTAGAATAGAACATGGGATGAGGGTGTTCCAAGAAGAGGGAACATGAGCAAAGGTGCCTGGCTGTGAATATGGAAACTCAAAGTGGTTCCGTAATGTGGAGCAAAGTCTGTCCTTCACTCTGTGGTTCGCTTTCCTTTCTCTCACAGAAGCCCTGAGGCCCCAAAGTGAATTCAGGATCATGGACTTAGCCCAGCCTCCCCATCCTGGGGTGGATCCCAAACCCTCACCCAGCTGGGAGGCCCACAGGTGTAGCCTTCACATTCTCACACAAGGCAGACCTTTGTGTGTCAGAATGAGCCCTATTAGACCTGGTATTAGATGGTAAAATATGGCAGGCCCCTTAAGTCCATCTAGTTCCATATCTGCCCCCCAGTGCAGCATGGCCTTTGGTGAGCTGTGGAAACTTCCACCTGCTTCCCAGGACCACTGCGAGGCTAAGCTCACAGCCCCGGAGGAACTTTGAAAACTGTAAGTCTGATGCTGAAATCTCAGCCTTTGTACACCGGTGCCTAATCGAATCTCAGAGACAGAGTTTTGGGTGAAGTTAAAAAGAAGAGCTTTATTGCTTTGCCAGGCAAAGGGGAACACAGCAGGCTCATGCCTGTCAAAATTGTGTGTCCCAACCTGGGAGGATTTGATGTGAGAATTTATAGCAATAGTTCAAGGGCGGGATCTCTGACAAGGCTGGGGTGTGTGCAGGATGTGCACTACCTTAATCTCAGCTCAGGTGGGCAGTCTCCTAATCCTGATGAGCTTGTCTGCTCCCTTTAATCTTTTTTCTTTTTAAATTATTTATTTATTTATTTATTTATGGCTGCATTGGGTCTTCATTGCTGCGTGGGATTTATCTAGTTGTGGCGAGCGGACTTCTCATTGTAGTGGCTTCTCTTCTTGTGGAAAAAGGGCTCTAGGCACGCGGGCTGCAGTAGTTGTGGCTCGCGGGCTGCAGTAGTTGTGGCTCGCGGGCTCTAAAGCGCAGGCTCAGTAGCTGTGGCACACGGGCTTAGTTGCTCCGTGACATGTGGGATCTTCCTGGGTCAGGGCTTGAACCCGTGTCCCCTGCATTGGCAGGTGGATTCTCAACCACTGCACCACCAGGGAAGTCCTCTGCTCTCTTTAATCTCGCCTCAGGTGGTTTCTTGGCTGCTCCTCCCTTGATTAGCAAGTGTTAGAATCTGCCCTTTGGAACTCAGGGAAGGTCACGGAGGCTGGAGTCTTGTGTACAAGAAATGGGAGACAAAAAGACCTCTGTGCCTGGGAGCCCCACTGGGCCCCGCTCAGTTTCAAGCTCAAGATATAAATAATCAGGATGGAATCCCAGCTGCACTATCGTTGGCTGAATAACCTTGGGTAAATTACTTCCCCTCTCTGTGTCTCCAATGCCTCATCTGTAAAATGGGGCTAGTAATAGTGGATGTGAGGAGTAATGTGCTTATATTTGGACAATAAGTGACAGTTATAACAGTAAAAATATTGTAATAACAATAATAATCAGTATTAAAATGAAGTCCAGTGCCTGCCCAGGAGTGAATGTGCTGGGTTGGAGGAACAGAGATGCCTGAGTTTGCTCCCTTAGAGCAATGGCAACACTATCTTCCTGAGTAGGAGAACTCTTTTTTTTTTTTTTTTTTTTTTGTGGTACGTGGGCCTCTCACTGCTGTGGCCTCTCCCGTTGCAGAGCACAGGCTCCGGACGTGCAGGCTCAGCGGCCATGGCTCATGGGCCCAGCCGCTCTGCGGCATGTGGGATCTTCCCGGACCGGGGCACGAACCCGTGTCCCCTGCATCAGCAGGTGGACTCTCAACCACTGCGCCACCAGGGAAGGCCAGGAGAACTCTTTTTACTTCTCTCTGATCTAGTCGGCATTTATTCATTTAGTCCACAAAAGTTTTCAAGCGCCTGCTCCTGCAAGGCCGTCTGTTGAGCTCTCTGCGGGACACAGGGAAGGGTGAGGCCAACCCTTTGTCTCTACCATCGAGTAGAAGGTACATATGTCTGTATAGACAACAAAAGTTGGAGGAGAAAGGCCTCTAAGTCACTTATATATGGAATCTAAACAAACAGACAAACAAACAACCAAGCTCATAGATACAGAGAACAGATTGCTTGCCAGAGCGTGGTAAAAGTTCTCATCACAAGAAAAATAATTTGTAACTTGCCTTACTGATTGTGGTGACCATTTCCCAGTACATACAAACAGTGAGCCATTATGTTGTATAGCTAAAGCTAGTATAATATGTCAATTATATCTCAATAAATCTTTTATTTTTCTTTTTTGCGGTACGCAGGCCTCTCACCATTGTGGCCTCTCCTGTCGCAGAGCACAGGCTCCAGACGCACAGGCTCAGCGGCCATGGCTCACGGGCCCAGCCGCTCCGCGGCGTATGGGATCTTCCCTGACCGGGTCACGAACCCGCGTCCCCTGCACCGGCAGGCGGACTCTCAACCACTGCGCCACCAGGGAAGCCCTCAATAAAATTTTTTTTTAATAAAGAAGATATACCCCCAACAAACTCTAGGTTTGACTTATTGTCTGTTTATTGTAAGAATAAAAT